TTCCCAGTGCCCATTGAAATCATATGGAGTCCTGATAGCTTTCCCCATGTAAAGCACTGACGTCTTTCCAAGATTAACAGGGATCCCCAGATCGAAGCCCACTCCATCATGTTGTGGATGGATTGGGTTAAGGCCTGGTGGATGCACTCGTGTGTGTCTTCATTATAAAAGCCGTATACCTTGATGTCGAAATCAAATAGCTGATATTGTAGTCAAACCTACAAGAGAGTTGTCGGAACACCCACTCTCGTCGCTAAGTGCTCGAGCATGCTGAGTTTGGCATTGATTCGTAACTGAAGCATTCGCGGAAGTTTTTTCCCCTCTTCCTTTTTTCAGCGCGTAATGTGTTTTTAGGGTCATGACTTAGTGCCGTGACTTTTTACAAAGGAACTATAGTGGGTCATATGTCTAACAACACGCAACGCATCTACAGCAATACTATCAACACCTCGACAACCATTAAGGGGAAATTATGAGGAGATATTGCCACTTAATCGATGGTGGAAAAGCAGCCTTCCCTTAACACAACTCACTGAGTCTGGTTGTCTATCACAAAATCCTGCGCAGAGCACACCAATGTTCAGCTAACGTGTACTTCACTTCTGCTGTATTTTTCTCCAAAGGCCGATTTTAGCCCGTTTTTTGTACATGAACTGGACGTGGCGGCGGTTGAGGTTTTCGTGAGATATTTTCATTCCAAGACACTTGTAATCATATCTTTGTTCAACATAGAACAAGATTACAGTTGTCTCAAACGAATATTCCACCAGTAATCCAGTTCTATGCTATGTTCAGAAGCCACGCCTACTCCATTCCAGGGATAAGGACCGTACTTAGTGTATTTATTGTAATTACTTGAGACGTACAACCGCCGCGTTAGCGACTGCCTATCTGGTTCACCTTGCAGCTTTTGCCAACTGGAGTAGCCTCCGTTCTGCGAATCGACGATGCTAAACGATACAAATGTCTTACACTCCCCGAGAATTCCTTAACCTATGTTCTCCGGCTACCAAAAATCAAACTCAGTCTTCCTTTCAGTTTGCTTGAGATGTTGGAATGCACGCTAGTATTCGCAGCAAAGCGTAAATACGTGATCAGGAAAGCCCAGAGAAGGTTCAGGCTGATCCGCGTAAGAAAAGTATCGTCAAATGCAGCGTCCGCGATTGAGCAACGTGGCAGCAAGCCCTGATCTATTTAGAGCGTTTCCTTCAATTCATCCACTAATACTCTAAGTTATTCTGCAACACGTCCGTGAGTCGTCGTCGTGTGAAGATCGTCACATAAATCGTCATGTTTCTCCATGTTTGTAGACTGCTTTTTGTTTGATATAACTGCTGTTTTAGCGCGCAGTGCGCGATACGAAAGTTATCACAAGAATGCTGAGTTGTGGGCAAAAGTCGGACCACGGGCGGGACTCGAACCCGCATCTTCTGCTTACCGGGCAGTTGCGTTACACTTACGCTACCGGGGCCCACTTTTGACCTCTCAGCTCAATGGCTATTTGTGCCATTGCCTTCGAGCACTCACACGTTCAACGTGATGAGCCGGTTAGCCGATATCGGCAGTGAACCGCAAGGCTGAAGGCTTTCCTCATCACGTTGAACGTGTGAGTGCTCGAAGGCAATGGCACAAATAGCCATTGAGCTGAGAGGTCAAAAGTGGCCCCGGTAGCGTAAGTGGTAACGCAACTGCCCGGTAAGCAGAAGATGCGGGTTCGAGTCCCGTGGTCCGACTTTTGCCCACAACTCAGCATTCTTGTGATAACTTTCGTATCGCGCACTGCGGCGTAAAACTAAAAACCAGCGCTTATCAAACAAAAACAGTGCTAAAACTTGTAAAAAGCCTTCAGCCTTGCGGTTCACTGCCGATATCGGCTAACCGGCTCATCACGTTGAACGTGTGAGTGCTCGAAGGCAATGGCACAAATAGCCATTGAGCTGAGAGGTCAAAAGTGGCCCCGGTAGCGTAAGTGGTAACGCAACTGCCCGGTAAGCAGAAGATGCGGGTTCGAGTCCCGCCCGTGGTCCGACTTTTGCCCACAACTCAGCATTCTTGTGATAACTTTCGTATCGCGCACTGCGGCGTAAAACAGCAGTTATCAAACAATAAAACAGCTAAAAACTCTGTTAAAAAGCCTTCTGCCATGCGGGTTCACTTAGCGCGATATCGGGCCTAACCGGCTCATCACGTTGAACGTGTGGAGTGCTCGAAGGCAATGGCACAAATAGCCATTGAGCTGAGAGGTCAAAAGTGGCCCGGTAGCGTAAGTGGTAACGCAACTGCCCGGTAAGCAGAAGATGCGGGTTCGAGTCCAGCCACGTCAGGTCGACTTGCCCACAACGTCAGCATTCTTTGTGTATTGTTTCCCATATCTGCGCGGCTACCCCCTAGCTCTATTCATGTAGTGCAGCGCGCTCAGCAGTGACAGTCACGACGTTACTTTAGATTCTAAAAGTTCAGACGGCTCAACACAAGGCGCACGTTTTGCTCTCAATGAGGCAAAACCACATTTCCAACAAAAGCTGTGCGCGTCATCGAATTAATTCATGTAAATTTGACATTGGTTCTATTCATTCACCGAAGGCTATTCATCACATCTGACTGTCAGTTTAGTGTAGTTTACAAATGTAAGGCCGTTTTTCATGGCCCAGACCAAAGCTGCTCTTTCGGCTGAAATAGTTTATAGAAGTGCAGGGAGCAGAACGCTTGTCTGTTTTTGCGCAGTAATTTTCTCAGAAAAGTACAAGCGCCTTCGGGGAGACGGTTGAGTACGTTCGGAACTGATCGTACTCTGATAGCTAACTGAGGCAGGATCCTTGCTGAACGGTCTGATACAACCAGGGTACAGCATCACTGTGCGCTAAACCTTCATCGAGTCTTTACCTGGGCTGAGAAGGGGGGGGGGGTCGTGAATGCAAGGTCGGTGAGCACCTAAAGCAAGGAAAGTGTGATTTCTAAATTTCTTTGAGAGGACGGAAAGCTGCAGAGGAGGAATATTACAAAATATCAAATTGATTGATTATCAATATCAAAATCAATCAAGGATAGCCCACAGATAGAGGCGACGGCAGGTCCCATCACTCCCTGGACGAAGGATGAAGTCCGCCGGGAGCTAGGGAGAATGAAAGTTGGGAAAGCAGTGGGTCCAGACGGGTACCGATAGAGGCATGGAAGGCCCTTGGAGAGCATGGGGTGAGTTGGCTCACGCACTTCCTAAACAACGTAACAGCTGAAGGAAGGATGCCGAATGCGTGGAGGAGCAGCACAATCGTCCCCATCTTCAAACAGAAAGGGGACGCGACGGAGTGCTCCAACTACCGCGGCATCAAGTTGACTCCCCATACCATGAAGCTGTACGAGCGCCTCAACACTAGGCTGAGGGAACTTGTCCCTATCTCGCAGGAACAGTTCGGCTTCATGCGGCCGACATCTGCTTCATCCTAATTTGCCATAGAATCATAACGTAGCGAGCGCTTGCGAGTTTTTACGTGTCTAATCCTTCTCGTCAGGACAAACAATTAGAGTCGGGAGGGGGAAGGGGTCGTACCAGGATCCTTTTCCGTGGGGGGGGGGTATTCGTACTGACACTGCCTTTTCACACATCACAATGCTGTACTCTGTCCACAACACTCAGCGCCGGTCTTCTATCAGGTAAACGGGAAACTTTTTGGAGAATCAGAAAAATTGGTAAATTCAGAAGAATTTAGCAAGATGGCGGGTGAGATGGAAAAAGGGTCACACTAGAGGAAGAAATCGTGGGGGGAGTGGTACTGATCCCCCCACTTCCCCTTATCCTGCTATAACTGAAAACCTACCTGATTCGCTCAATTGTTTGGGTTGCTACTCATATGCGATCTCGAGACCGCGCGCTGGGCTAAAGGAATGTGAACATGCACAAGTGGTGGCGACAACCACACAAAAGCTGGGTCGGAAAATAGCGTGAAATGACCACAACATGTTTTCTGCTTCCGCTGTCCTGACGGAAAGAGCTACCGGGTCACACTGTCGAGCTAAAATCTAAACCCATTCATTGAGAAACCTCCAAAAACAGGCAACGATCAAACATCCCTGCCAACGGCTCGCGACTGATTCATCGACAGATGGAATGGTCCCGAAAAGAAATTTCGAACGTTCGATCAAACTAGATCGACTCAAATTCGGTCTGCATTCACTTGTCTGAGCCATTCATTTGTTTCATGAAACCTCAGACCTCGACATGCACTAAGTTCTAACCAACCGAGTTCGGTATTCTGACTAGCAGTGTAGGCTTTGTGTAAAAGCGACGCTTTGGCTTACGCGATACCTTCGTGCAAAAGATGTTTAGGGGTTGGGAGCTTTCCCAGAGTTCGTGGACCACGAACGCTTCCGTACCTGCGAACGATTTGAAGAATGGCTGACGCTATGCGGCGTTGTGATGTTCTATCACAGCAATTACCCAAGTTATCCCACCTAAGGTAAGCCAAGCCAAACACCTCGATGGCCGCTCTTCTCCATGAAAGCTTTGGCTAGGTTGGCTAGGGTAATGAACGGTCCAGCGTCGAACTGCGATAGACTACTGTGGTTCGTAACGGTTACGAAAGGACACGTCATTGGTGCCTGCTCGATGAATTCGATTTCGATTGTTAGTGGAGATCCATGTGAGAGCGTGATCGTAGAACGTGGAAAGCTTGTAACCGTAATATCAGGATCGAAGCTCAACGAAAAAAAGCGACAAACGACATGACTGACTGTCGACCGTGAATGACTGTGGTTGGCTACAGATTTGATTGAACTATTTTTTCAACCTTCACGGGCTCATCTATCTCAATGGAAAATTTTTAATTAGTCCCTCATGAGCATTTAAAAGCCTGGGCAGGCACCAGAATGACATTCACGGAATGCGGCTCACAGTTGCTCTACGCTTGTTCGCTTTATTGGTGGTGAGTCGGTATTTGGTTTCCGTTACACCTTTGCGAATAACGTATATGTCAAGGTGATGGTGACGGCATCAGCGCAACAGAGTCCGCCTACTAATTCATCTACTGATGCAAATACGACGGAGACCACTACTACTACTGCGAGCACAACGACTACTACTGCAGCGACTACAACAGCCAATGTACACCCAAATCCTTGTTCGTTCATCACTCATCACTTTGAAATCACTCTTACATTAAGGTCTGAAATGAGGGAGGAAGGGGGGGGGGGTAAGCATTTGGCTGATCTTCAACACCTAAAGCCAGCTGAAGCTCACGCTGCATCCATCAGGTTCCAGAGCTCTCTCTATCCAGAGCAGCGTGATGACATTCCAAATTTTTTTACTTATGCAAGGTAGTTTTATGAAAGCTCCGACTCATTCTGTACAATATTCTAGCAGTCAACCAAATTTGCCCCCAGGGACCCGATTCAACAGACAGAGTTAGGGTGAATGCACTTCAGGGACATAATTTCCGCAGGTATGTTGGTCTTTCTCCCATATCGTGAGTCTACAAATGCTTTCAAACAAATTATTGCACAGATCTCAACTTGCTCGAGGAAGGGTGAAGAAAAACAACGGAAATACTCTGCCCAAAGCTGCTAACATGAGGAGGCTGGTATGATTCAGAACTTGTGTGGACTTTACCTCGGAAATGAGGGAGTAAACAATGGGCTTCAGCAATACAGTTGCGACCTGGAATCTTCTGCCAGGCAGTCTGCTCACAAGTGGTCCTAATCTTCCATCTGGCGTACAGGAGAACACTATGGTATTCTCAAAAAGCCGAGCTCAATACCGCAAGGATGCAATTTTAGTGGTAGGTGGATTGGCGGAATCCTCGGATTCCCAACGATCTATAGCAATTGTCAGCACAACCTCTTCCATTGTATGATTCTTTAGGCTGTGAAACACTGGTGGAGCCAAATTCGCAAGAATAATGGTCCCGGACAAAGGGTCATTTTCAGAAACGTATTCCAAAGCTCGAAGGTCTCTTGGTTCACTAGAGTAAGCCTTAAGCTCCATAGAGACATAATTTTTGTTGAACAAATCAGCAATTAGAAAAATGTGGCGATTCTCCTGTTTTTTTTTTTTTTGTGCACCGTAATAATTGCTATTTTTATCCCAAATTACAGATGGCATGGGCAACTACATACCAACTTGGCTGTTTTGTTCATCACTGTAGTGGCAACAGATGGTCTGCCGTGTGTCATTACAGCCCTGGGTATTTTTTTACCAAGTTTCCGTTTAGTTTGCGGAAGACAGATTTTCGATTTCAGGGGCAATATCGTCAGGCAGAATATCTTATGCGACTGGTAGGCCGTGTTCACAGTGTCCCACTGGAACGTTCTGTAATGGAAACAAACTATGTGCAAGTGCGTAACATCGTGACAACTAGAGAACACTCTATTTTTCAATATGGTGAAATTTGCTGGTCAATCAGATTGATCTTCTCAATAAATCTTTCATACACGATCACGTCTTCACTTGTAATTATTAGGTTGGCGGGGAAGTTCTGTCACATTTTTCAAATTAAGCCTCCTTTTGATAGAGTGGCGTGTAAGATCAAAATTGTACAATAATGCTACTGCGGAGTATTTGCCTGTTGAGCACCTCATGGATGCCATCGCTTCACAATGCAGGGAGGCGCGATACAAAGTTGGACATCATCTCAATCTTGGCTTGAACTCAGACTTTTCGAGGTTTTCTCGTAATTTCTCGTCCAGTAATGATTGATTACGGGAGGCAACTCGCAGTTAGAAGGAGCAATGTCTGTGCTACACCACTGCAAGGGGAGAGCCATCCAGCTCTATTGCATGAGGAACGGCTAGAACTACGGAGTGCGCTGCACTATCAGAAGCATTTGGAGGGGTCGGTGGCGATGGTAGCGGACCACATTTTCGCCCATATTGCAGAAGAAGAAGCAGGGGTCAAGCTAGTGGTGCTAGGAGAAACTCTTTGACTCTCTCCACTCTTTGATGTATAAGTGCTCACATTACCGGACACCCCTCTTCAGGTGATGGGCAAATATTCTGAGGTCGGAAAAGTGCCAGAACTTTCCCGCCAACCTAATAATACAATCCATTGATGCTAGTGCCCTGCCGACCTTTGCGCGGGGTCGCAGAACAGAAGTGTAGGTGCTGTTGATTTATTCGTAAAGGACAGAAAAGTCGAATCCGCAGGATCCCAAAACTTTGTTGGGATTTCAGAGAAGAGACCAAAAATTATCAGTACGAGAGCATATGAACGAGCGCAAGAACAGGCACCAGCTCATAACTGATCCACTTACGATGAGAAGTAACCGCTTCAGCAACTCTCTGCTCCAAAAAAAAAACTACATTCCTTACAAAGTCGTGACATGAGACTGATTCGATTTTCCGCACGGCACTATAGTGGTCCCTTTCTCACGTGGGGCTCTGAATCTTATGAGTAATCACGACACGCTTCTAAGTAAGCGATAACTGACTGCCTTGCCGACTGGCAACTTATGTACAAACAGTTGAAGAATGTGCAAGAAAGTGCTTTCCCTGAGATAGTTCTCCGAAACACATGCGCCTCAAACGTTTCGAGGGTCCACAATGGGTATGTGTTCAAGTATAATAGCAAGAAATTGTACAGCACTCGGACTATTTACTCCCTTACGAAATCTGGCCGGTGTAGTAGCAGCATTTGCAGAGTTGCCTGAAAAGTTGGTTTCAGGGGTAGATGACCTCCCAAGTACGAATGTTACATCCGCTCGGCCTGAAACCATTGACCGCTATGGGCCACGGGCTCCAGGCGTCAAACATCCTAAATCACTTTGCCGAAAACCTGTCCCCAAGGGTAGTTCGAGCTATCACATCTGCACGGGTGTCGAAAAAGTTGAGGGTGGGGTATAGGGGGTACACCCAATAGAGCGGTCTGCATTTGCTCATCTGCACCCTTCCCTCGGCACAGGGACTCCTTGCTCTACTATTCTGAGCCTTAATGAGGCGTTTGCATTCTTCGCGACGTAGGGCGATCCACGGCCATCGCAGGGCGTCATAGTCATAATCATGGAGATTGCCTTATCAGAAGCCTATGCTGCCCGCTTGGCGGAGCGGTCAAGTGGCCAGCAAGGGAGGCGGGAGTTGCATAGAGAGGGCTTAATCCGAAGTGAAGAGCAGCGATGCTTGGACATTTACTGAACGACAAAAAAATTTATGGTTCGCGCTGTGAGGAACTCCTGAAGGGACACTTGATCAGAGAGGCAAGGTGAACTCAGAAATAGGGAGCGAGCGGTAGGGAAGAAGTACGGTGGTCGCCCACAACTACGTCGGATATTGATAAACAAACAAACAAGCACACGCTGACCTTCTTTAGCAGTAGGAGCACATCTGCTTGCACGGCGATGTTTCTGGAAGTTACACCATTCCAGCGCCTCTTTGTGGGACTCGGATGCAGGGCGCAGCACAGAGATAATGTCAATCAGTGCCGAATGAACAATTTCCTGATAATTTTTACGAAAACATGTGTTCCAGAGGCATGTTGAGGTTTTCAAACGAACTAAAAATGTTGTAACGTCGGATGGGTGGCTCGTATTGTCCAAAACTGTTACAACGAAAGACGGAGTTTTCAACCTAGGGAAAAAAGGGAGGTGCTATCTAGAAAGCAAATTTATTTTAGATTTCGTCAGCTTTTTAGTTTTACAAGGTTTCACCTATGAAGAAAGCAAAGCACGAAACTCGTAGGTGACACTAAATTCAATAATAGGTAGGTGTTCCAAATCGGTAAGCACAGTTGCTAAATATTGCCTTCTCCTCTCCAGACTCCGCTCCCAAAAAGTCATAGATGCTCAAAAAGGTCTTTCAGCAGTTCCTAGCCCATTTAAAAAAACAAAATCGAAAGAAAAAAAGAAGAGCAGGAAAGGAAACAAAAAAAAACGAAACAAAAGGTAAAAATCCAAGTATCGGATTCGATATTGCCCACGTTTTTTCGGGCAGTGGGTCAAACCGTGACCCTTTCTGGGGGAGGGAAGTCTTACCGAGCAGTAATTTCAAACAACGCGATGGCGTCTCCTGAGTATCTGGTGCACATCTAAGGAGGTATCGAAATGCCAGTAGCGAGGGCTGCAGCGCCTTCCTCACTTACTGTAAAGCCGTGGATCTGAACCATTGTAGAGATTGAAGACGAGACTACCTGTGCAAGGGAAGACACCTACGAATCGGTTGAGCGACGGGTGTTCAGAGCGTACCACGCAGAGATCCATGCCAATTGGTTATGGTGCCCTGGGAGGAAGTCATTAGGATTAGGCCAGCAGTTCGTTACAGGCATAGTAGCATCTCTTTTAGAACGAACATGATGAATAGAAGCAGCAATAGTAGAAAACAGGAATTACCTCGCAGGCGCTCAAAAGTGCTTCAGTCAAAAGTGAAGTGAACTAAAATCAGAGTGAACTAAAATTTGCTGCCGAACCGTGCGGGTGTTAAGCGCGTCAATTCCACAGATAATATTAAAGACACATGGTACGCTCAAACACATTGAGGGTGTATGAGACTATCAGCCCCCAGCTGTCGATGTGTCGTGGTTTCCCCGCCCGAAACTGCACGGGGTCAGAGTACGGGGCCGTGGGAAAGTCTAATTCCTTGCTACACCGCCCAAAATGCAACTTGCGGCACAAAC